ATATCAGCGGTCTCGGCACACCTACCTTAAAGCCGAAAGGTTCAGCGTTATTTAGTAATCTTAGGATCCAGGCTACCACAAGCATCCAATTATATGCTCAGTCAAATGACGACAGAAATTGGATTCTATGACAACTTATTTCACCGTCACTAATTAATTACTAAAATCTTTGATCGCCAGTTGAATCATCACTTGACAACCCAGCTGTCCACCGGGATGGTTGATTTCTAATGACATTATTTGGCTGCTCCCCCGTGTCATACAGTGCAGACGGGGACATCGGCATGCTCCTGGAAAAGGCTATGGATATGAGGGATGACTGTATCTTGTCTCGCGCTATCATGTTGTCCTCAGTCTTAAATAATAAACAGCAGACACAAATGATCAAATACAAGTCAAAGAATCAAACTATATCTTATAATCTTATAATTACTTTAGTGATTGGCCTACATTTCATAATAATGTAGATTCTTGAAGAAATGTAACTACATAGCTAGGAGAATTTACGTTTCTTCAGTAGGTGCAGACTTTTACTTTGATCTTGGCCATTTTTGTTGAGTGGAAGCGCTTGCTCATTTAAAGTATGTGCGGCGCCTGGTTTGGTGTCCTTTGCTGGGCGTGTTCTGCTGCAGCAGAATTGAATGATCAAAAACCCCTTGTATTAGTCGTTAATCACTTTTATGTCGATGATTAATGACGCCGGAGCACGTGCGGTCCTCCCACCGACGAGCAACGGCCCGATTAGCCCAACCCTTATCTATTTTTCTACCTCCCTAGTGGCGAACTATATCGAGATTGGTATATCAACTTGATATCTGTTTTATCGAAAATATATATACCTCTTAGATATCGATTGTTAGGGATACTCTGCAGGCGGCAGAAATTGGGGTAATACGGTACGATTGAGGTCGTTTTCTTACCTATTTCTACCCTAAACTCCTTTTCACCTTTATTTTTCACTCCCCTACTCCAGGAAGGGTTATTATGCCACTTCTTTACCCATCGTAATGAACATGGGGTGTACGACGACGTACTTTGAAGAGGTATCCCCTAATAATGATTCAGTATAGAATCTGCACAGACGGTTAGATTATTCTGCACAGAATCTGCGTAGACATTGTCACACTTAATCTGCGTAGAGTCTGCGCAGCGAAATTTGCATTCGTTTTCAACCGGACAGAACACCTTCCTTCATTCATAAACAACTCTTATCCGATCCCCAACCGTTTGTTTCCCTTAAACAAAAGATGTGGAAGTGTGGGTTGTTTTAAAAAATGAGATTTTTGTTAAAAAAGGGATTAGTAGTATGGCGTTTCATATTCATCGTTGTCGTCTAAAGTCATTGACGACAATATTTAATTGCAGTGTTAATCGAAACGTGGTATGCAAGCTGACTTGCGGCACTTGAAAACGGATTACGGGTATTAACGTTATGAAGAGATCGCCAACCGCCCGCACATTATGAGGTAGATTGCCTACTACCTCGTTTGCGCAATCGATCATAGGCATTCCTAAAGGCAATCCAAAGGCCTTTTCCAAATGATGCTTGTCACAGTTTTGCGCAGCGTTCCAAACTGTGAAATCATCTATGCTGTTACGTAACATATTACAAAATTGAATGGTCGTACCCACAACTAAACCGTATGCCTTTGGTCCGGAGAAGACCCTCTTCCCCTGGGGCCGGCCGTAGAATATTAACTGCAATGCAACCCTGTCATCAAATAGGATACCGGACGGACTGTCCGGGAAGGCAGTAATTGTTTCACTTCCGTCGGTCGTTAGGTCTGAAATCGAGTAAGCAATTCGCAATTGCTGGGTGTTGTCGGAACGCGGGTCCGATAAGACGCTGGTGAAGATATCGAGCTCCTCCACGGTGGCCGTGCGTTGGGACACAGGCCCATGGTGCGCTGGAGTGGGTGTGGAGCTGCTGTAAAACTCACGTGCATGCCGACTTTCATAAATTGCATCTAATTTTACTTTCATATTCTCTATATTTCGTGCGGTTAGGACGAAGTATTCCATCATCCATCGCAGGCAGGTCTTTAAGGTATTCTTCCTCCGACGGGAGGACGAACTACGGTATCGCAATTTAAGGTTTCTTTTACTGGTGCCTCCGGCGATCTTTTCAGATGAGAAGACTAATTCCTGCGTTTTATGTTGACGTGCCTAACAGCCACATGCAACTGGAATCAGTTTGATCTGTCTCGGGCTCACAAATTGCCCTTTAGTTAAGCGTGTTGTAGGCCATTATAGTATTCAATGCTTAGTAGATTCTGGCGCCGGTTGCTCTTTGATACAACAGTCCATCTCATAATTTTAAGCAAGGACCAAGTATAGCGTCAAGCTTAACGTTATTCTTCGTACAGCTAATGGTGCTAGTCTTAGTCATGCTTGAGCAGTGGATTCTCTCTAAACACGTCCGGAGTTAGTTTTGACCACCATTTTACCGTATTCCCAGACAACCTAGGACTGCACCGTGTAAGTTAACATTATGACCAAGTCTTAGTGTTGACTTGATTTTCGTAAACATCTACTGCGACGACGTCAACTAGTGTACCCTTTCTTACCCTTTTTACTGAACCTCGCAAACTACCCACATGTACAGTTTCCATTACAGTTAAGGGGCTTATTCCGACTCATATTGACGAAATTAGCGCCACAAAGCCAAGCGATGTAATTGGCGACTTTTGGTGCTTCTGGAATAGAAACAAATGACGAAATGAAGAGACGAATTCGAGAGTTGCCCACTCCTACACACGTGACCGATGTTCCCAGCTTTTTGGTTCTTGCTTCGTACAACGGACGATTTATGGAATACTACGCCCACATAACAGGCCTGCCCCCTAAGTCAACGCAGAAAAACGTCAAATTCAGTTGGCTGCCGACTGTACCAATAGTTTCCAGATGCTAAAAGCTAAACTGTGTTTCACGCCAATTCTGGTCGTCCACGATATTAACAGTGATGTTGGGAAGTTTGTTTTAGACACCGATGCCAGTGACACCGCGATTGACGCCATTCTCTTTTAGCAGCAGCCAGACGGTACCGGACGAGTTATCCACATATAAATAATCTACTGACATCTACACATTTGTGAAAAAATGCCGACCCTACCTCCGGTATAACCCTTTTATCGCGCGCATTGAACATAACTTTTTGACTTGGTTGCGAAACCTTAAGAAATCTTAAGGACAAGGTGGTAAGAAAAGTTGACGGAATACGACTTTGAATGCGTGCTTCGACCAGGTCGACGACATGGCCATAAAGACTCTCGAGGAAACCTCATTACCTCCATGGAGCGTGTCCGTCAAGTTGTGACGTCACTATGTCCGCTGTCACTTTACAAAGCAACCAGTGTCTGCACTAGGCTGCGGCCTAACTAGATGGCCCATATATTACTCCCATTTAACAGAAGGGGCAAATCGTCCATTAAAACGGTATTTCAGTCAACCGCGACAAAAAGCAACTGCCAAAACTTGTCTTCTCCTGCCACTCTTGAGGGAGAATGACGCGGTGGAAAGAATAAATGCGGAGCTAGGTCAATCAGGCATTACCGACACTAAGTCGACATTACTTCCGACCGAACCAAGAAAGAGACCTCCAAAGGCCTTTCCGTCGTGTGGGTTTTGTTTATACTTACAATGTAGCCTTTCATAAAGATCCCCATTTCGGGCGATTAACACAGGCTGTCTCAACGATAGGGTAGGAGATGACCTTGTTGGCTCGTTCGCACCGTCCGCTAGAGGAAAAAGATCCATCCTCGACATGGTGGGCTTTTCACCAAAATGGCTGAGACAGTGTCCTTATCTGACGCACCTGCTCCTACAGTACTTCGGTTAGGTTTGCCGTTGGTGGCACCAAACTAGCTCCATTCTGATCGAGGCTCGTCATTTTGGAATGCTGTTGTACATGATTTGCAGACATTTCTGAAAATTAAGTAAACCTATACGGCTGTGTACCATCTCCAGGGTAACGGCTACGTCGAGAGAAGCGATCAGACTGAGCAATCTATTAGAAGCTTTTGTCGACAGAAACTCGAGGCCTCTCCGGGATAAAACCATAGCAGCCACACAAATACAGCTTGACCATTGCATCCGACGATGTCCACTGTAAGGCGGAGCAGGTACGGTGACATGCACATGCTTTAGTTTATAGTGAGTATAGACTTGCGCAGCAACTACCGCACTCTCCTACTCCAGCACCTGGACCCGGTGTCAAGACAGAGTCAAGAAGACCGGAAATGGGGGAGGACGCAAATACATGGCACGGTCGAGGCCGCACCTTGGCGCTCCACTTCACACTCTGTCTCACACAGCAAATGACCAGGATTTTAACCAACAGCGAGAGGGTGGGGAGCTGGCGCGACCGAGGCCGCACCTACTCGTTGTAACACCTAGCTCTCATCTCACGGAGTAGGAGTGCCATAAAGGCCACATTAAGAAGGGGGCACTGCAGCCTGACTTTTAGAGTACCAAGCTGCCACAGCACACAAAAACATGCAACTGGATAGACTCCGTGGACGGAGTTGGGACGTCACTCAGCAGCCTTCCGAGCTACTGTGCCTGACGCACTAGGATAATCTTGGACTCGGATCATGCATGAGACGGAGGAGCCCCGTAGAGACGGAGCTGAGGCACATATTTGCATGCGAGGTGGCGATTGGACGCTTGTGGTGGATGATGTGGTGTGATGTAGGTGTTGGTGGGGAAAGATGTGATGGTGATGCTTAGCCGCAGGCTTTCGTGAATAAACATGTGGCCTAGTAGGCGGACGGACGATGGCGGCGTCGGAGATGGTGAAGGGACGATTGAGGACGCTTCTGAAGTGCCTGATCCATCGCTGAAGAATTTGTCCTCTCGGTTAGTATGGTAGTTTCGTCGACTCTATGGAGAGGAGCAGTTGCTTTGGCCGTGGGACCTTAGACGGCCTTAATCTCAGCTAAGAAGTTTTTCCATTCGTTGCTATCCGCGTATCCTTGGATCTCGTCGGCCCTGCGAGCCGTTCAAGCGTCCTGCTCATCTCGCAGTCGCTGTGGCACAATTCGGCGGCTACGGTAGAAGGTTGCTTTCGGTAGGGCGGTTGACGCTTTGTGCAGGCGGTTCACGGAGAACAGGTTGCTGATGGTGGCGTCGTTTTCACCGAACCAGTCCTGGTGTGGACGTCGTGCGTGACCAAGGACATCCATGGCCATCGACTGGACTGTGTTCCGCAGTTGACACCATCGTTTCTCCACGAAGGCCATTACGTGAGCGTCAGGGGCGGCGGCGGCGACTGCAAAACTAGCTAGGAGTTGAGCTAGTTCATTTTTGAAATGGAGATGGTGGCCAGGCAAAAACAGCAAAACAATATTCAGCTTTCCTGGCGTAGCTTACCTTGAGGTCTCTTGCGAGGCTGCAGGCGAATCTGCATCTTAGAGATGACGAGGCGATGGACGGTCCACCCGTCGGCACCCGGGATCGCTATTGTCACCAACACATCCCGCTGGTTTCGCCTCTGGACAAGGACATAGTCTAGCGGGTGTCAGTGTTGCGACCAAGTGTGCACCCAGGTGGCCTCTTCTCGTCTCGGAAGGCGGAAGGAAGTGTTGGTTAGGATGAAGCGGTGTTCTGCGCAGGTTCGTAGGAGCAGGCCATTGCCATTGGAGCCTTGGAGACCATGGGGACCCAGCACTTCTCTCCAGGCAACATGGTCCGCACCGACGCGGGCGTTGAAGTCACCAAGGATAATCCACTTATCCGCCTTCGGCACAGACGTCAGGACGGCGTGCAGGTCCTCGTAGAATTTGTCCCTCGCCTTGTCAGGGCCGGTCATCGGTGGGGCGTAGACACTGCTGATGGTGACGAGTTCATCTCCCTGGAGAGGCAGGCGGGGGCTCATTAGGCGATCGTTGACGCTCTGTGGCAGACAGGACAGTCGTCCCACGATGTCATTCCGGGGGACGATGGGGGTGTCCTCTTCTCGTCGCTCTGCTTTGGGTCGACTGCTCCGGAAGAAGGTGCAGCCGGCACGCACTTCCTGCAGTTGGCCTTGTTCGGAGAAACAGATCTCGCTGAGTGTGGCGATGTCCACCTTGTAATGCGCCAGCTCCTGAGCCACTATCATCGTCCTCCGTTCCGGCCGGTTGGTTCTTGGATTGTGCAAACAGGAAGGAACATTCCAGGCTGCCATAGTGAGGGAACTCACTCTCCCAGCCCGTGTGGTGGAGCGACAAGGAGAATGCGGGGGGGGAAGAGAGATTTTTTCCTGTCTTGTTGTTTCGACCGTGTGTTTTGCGTCTGTGAGCTCCGATCAGCGCGCAGAGGACGTGATCCAAGCGTTTGTTTTGGTCGCCTTTTCAAGCCCCGTCTTCCTCGCGGTAAGCAGTGCTATCCATAAGTAGGGTTGCGCAGACATCCCGGACAACTTCCGGATTCAATTATGGTCCACGACCTTGTATATTGGGAGACTGACCCAATTTTGCCTGGGCCACCTACGACATCGCCGTAGGAGTTGAAAGCGGGTAGGGAGATGAGGGGATAGTAGATAGACGGGAAGCAGTTTTCCGTCCCTCTGAGCTTAATTGGTTGCTGGGATATAAATGGTGGCAGAAGCATTCAGCAAAACGGTATTTAGATTACAAGAAGGACCATCGGAGACAAGCAGACAAAGGAAAGCAAGAACAAGCAAAATCAACGATAGCAGTTCAATATTCGGCTTACCTGGGAGGGTGGGGAGAGCACCTACCTTGTGGCCTGTAGCGGGGTTGCAGACGAAGCTTCATCTTGTAGGCGGCGATGCGGTGATTCGTCTGGCCAAAGATGTTGGGAATGCAGCCGAGTTACCATGTGTGGAGATGCACATACGGATACCCTCACATGGTGTAGCCTGCTGGTCGGGGCGGTTTCCGATGTGCGGCCGTTTCATGGAGCCGTATGTGAGAGTTGGAAGTAAGTAAATAGACGCTAGGCATTGTCTACACAACTCACTGTTCTTGGAAGGAGAGTTAACCGTTAGCCCAGCTGCTGCCTACCCGTCGCGTCCACATGTGGCGATCGCCCTCTCGCAACAGGCGGGCTTCTCTTTGCTTGCTTGGGAACCAATCGATGGGGACCGGATGGCCTACGTGCGACTAAAGGGTCACTTTTCGATGGCCTCCGCCGTGTAGGCATTAACTTCTGCTTCTGAACAGCACGACAAAGGGGCTAGGATAGACCCTACTCAGGGGTGTTCATGGTACACTTCAATCGCCCAGTACGGGAACCACCGCTAGAAGAGGGCATTGACTGTTCCGATCTACTAACTGAAACAGTATTGGCCCCAAAGTTGGCATTGCCGGTCTGTGCATCAAGAAAAGTGCCCCATATCATTTTTGCTGTGTGTAAACCTCTCCAGTCTACGACAATGGGTAAGCACTGGCTACTGAGGTACACCCGGCGATGCACTTTTAACCTGAACCTAACCCGCATTGTTTCCATGTCTTGCTGCCCTGGATCATTGTCTGGTGTGGTGTTATTTTGCAACAACTGGCAGATTGCCCCACCTTTTTGAGTCATTGGACAGTAGTCTGTTTCTGCAATGTTGCTTAGGGGCGAATTACTGCGGTCTACCTGATGGAACCCGGACAGTCGTTTAAATGAATAACCCATAGCCTCCTGAACGGGCTACTTGCGGTTCTCCGAGTTACTGTCAACTAGGCCGTCCCTTCAAGGCTTGCATCCGTCAAACTCCCACAACTGCCAGTTGCCGCCACTGTTGAATTATTGGGGGTTTCACTACTTATAATGTTTGAAACTTCAACTGTAACAGAAATGCAGTAGCTGTTAACACATATTGACAATGCGAGTTGCCACTTTTGTGCGCAGTGAGGCATTAGGTGGATTGCAGCATTGCAAATAGTGTAAAAGGCTGGGTAGTTGGAATGATTGCCATCACTGTTATGTAGTTAAATGCACTTCTTCACCTTAACTGGGTTTGTTGTTGGCTATGGTTGGTACTGCCATTCTCCTCTGCCGTATGTGTTCTTCCTGCCGGCATAACTCGCACCCTGCCAAATTATATTTGCCAGTTGAACGACAGCATTTTGTGGCGAATCTTAATTTTTTTGCACATATTCCCTGAAAATAGTCTCGAATATTTGTTAATTTTGCGGTTATTTAGACAATTCTCCCGCCTTTGAGATCCTCTGAAATGTTTACCTCTAGCCCCATTTTATCGAAATCCCTATCTTTCCAGTCGTTCCTTCGGATGTTCTGGTCAACCCATTGAGCGGAATACGGTCCTTGGTGAATGTCCGTCCTTTCTGGAAAACTACAAGGATAAATCTGTTTGGATCGACTGAATCCCGGCTGAATTTTTTCTTCATCATGACAACCCCGAGACTCGACAGTTCATAACTGTCCTGATGTCAGGGTATGTCCCAACATCCTTCCTGAACGGTTTTCTAGGCTTCACCCAAGTCTTAGGGGGTAAGTCTGTGCTGCCTTTAAATTTGCAGTGGTCTAAGTCTTCATCACCGTGCATAAACAGGGTGAGGATAAGTTATTTGACCAGGGCAAATTTTACACCCATCACTACTTACTATTTAGAGTAAACATAGACAGCAGCATTTATTGGAACCAATAAATTTCGCGACGGCTTATCAACTGAAGGCTGTCGTTACATAACAAAGATAACAAATGAGAAAGATAGAGAGATTTGAACTTCCACAGTTAAAATCAGTATAACTTCCCATTTTCCTTCCTATGTTGCGTTTTAAAGTTACCATTTTATTGATTAATCCGCGTGCAGTTTTCAGTTTATTTGAGGGAAACATAGGTGTTGAACCTTTGAAACCCCTATTTGTTATAAGGAAGCGAATTATATCGAAAATTTAAAAATGGAAACATCAAACAGCTACAGAAGTTTTTTGCAGATTGGCAAAGTTTTCGAAACCGGGCAGATAAACGAATTGTTCCAAGTGTTAAAGTTATTAAATGTGCTGTACAGTAGTCTGTCTATGGATAATTGGTGCTATCTCAGTTTCTGAGGGAGCCGAATTGAATGTCAACACTCACATTCAACGGACATTCAACTTTACGGAAATACAGGCAGTAATATAATGACATTAATGAACTGTTCGAACGAAATGGTAAGACGATGTCGGTCAGGTGACATTATGACGTTTTAGTGGTACACTGGTCCAATTTCCGCTTAATAGCCTCCACGGACGTGAACGTGACGACATCTGCAGGCAGAGCATTCCAAGCCTCGATCACTCTGTTTGAAAATAAGAACTTCCGAATGTCCAGCCTGGCGCCAGTCACGCGTAGTTGAGGTGAATGACCTCGGAGGTTCGTTGTGGTTGATAAATCAAAGAAATCAGCAGGTAAGAGATAACAGTCCTGGCCGCGCATTACACGGAATGCTTGTATAAGGTCGCCTCTTAGCTGCCTGTAACTCAGTGGAAAAAGACCGCGATTGGATAGTCGTGTTTCATAGGGTAGTGAACCCGGTCCACTTACGAGTTTGGTTGTCCGCCTTTGAACTTTCTCAAGGATGCTGAGACCTTTAGAGGTCCTGGGTTTCCATGTCTGAATAGCGAACTCCAGCTGTGGCCGTACAAATGTTCACAAGATTTTAAGGAAGCAGTCCTCATCGAAGGTATATGGTGTCAAATTTGGGTTATTTGCCATTTGAGGTTGTTGAGGCGTCGGTCTCTAATGTCGCTCAGGGGGAACCCTGGACCTTTCAACCTCAATAAACCGATCGGCCTGTTCGATCGCGTCCTCCAAAAAATGCAGGGAGTCTGCCAGAGCACGAGAAAACAACCCTTTAATAAAATGGTGTAGGGTAACCTCTTCGGCGTTCGCGGCTGTCAAAGAGCGGTAGGCCTCTTTGCATAACCTCAACATTTCGTCGGCGAACTGCCGCGGGGTTTCGTGTGTTTGTTGCCGACGGTTTAGGAATATTCTATGGATTGTCTCGCAGAAGGTCTTGGTGAGAATAGACGACGCAAATGACAACAAATGTTTTTATATGGGGTATGTGTGGATACGCCAGTGTAAGTAATAAACACATTATTTGGGCACAGTGAGTAGGCCATCCGGGAAACGAAGATAGGAGTATCCCAACAGTTAAACTAGTAAATAAGAACAAAGTCGTCAGCAGGTAAAAATGCACTTGCTCGCGACCTGTCCAGAGGTAATGGTGTGTGAATCCAGTGGACGAGTGGACTTTGCTCCTATAGGCTAAGAAGCAGAATGGGAGTTGTACGTCCCAGTCATGCTCGTGGCTGTCTTTCGTAAATGCAAGAAGGAGATTGCGAATGGTGCGGTTGGGGCGCTCGACAAGGCCATTAACTTCGGGGTGATATGGTGTCGTGCGAGTTTTATGTATGTCTAGGAGGCTGCACACTTCACGGAAGAGCTGGGAGTCAGAATTGCTACCGCAGTCGGAGTGGAAGGATATGGGTGCTCCCCAACGACAAACCCACGTCCGGTTAATAGCGTTTGCGACAGATGTGGCAAGTTGGCGGAGTAAAGGTACGGCTTCGACCCATTTTGTAAAGTGATCTACCACAACAAGGCTATATTCATATCCACGGACTGATATCGGTAGGGGACCAATAATGTCTAAACCGACGCGTTCGCCTGGGAAACCCGTGATCATGGGTTGCATGGGAGCACGTGGAAAGGGGTTTGGTGACTTGAACAGAGTGCAAGTGGTGCAGGATTGGCAAAAATGGAGGACAGAGGAACGGAGTTGGGGCCACCAAAATCGTGCACTGGCTGCCAGTTTGGTGCGTCGTTGGCCGCAATGCCCCAATTCTGTGTGGAGGTCAGACAGTACAGTGTCGATCAAACATCCTGGCACTACTGGGCGTAGTTGTTTTGACGAGGGGTCGCGGAAAAAGAGGATATCGTTGTCGATTAGGAGGTGGGGCCACTGGTGCCAAAGGAGGCATGCGTTTTGACTAGCACCTTTCATGTCCGCCTCAGTAGGTTTATTGATGTGTTGGGATAGGTGGTTATAAATGATAGCCGTGTCAGGGCCAGTCTGCTGAGCCGACGACCAGACGTGACGAGTGGATTCGGACATCGTGATCGCGTTGACTGACGCGGTGTTGGGGTCTAGATCTGGTGGTTGCGTGTCGGGAAAACGTGAGAAAGCGTCAGCGTTCCCATGTTTATGATCAGGACGATATTGGCACT